CTCCCCATTTTGCAGATGGAGCCACTGAGGCACAGAGTGATCATGTGCTATGCCCAGCCCCAGGGCCAGTTTGGTGGTACAGCTGAATGCACGGCCCAGGAAGCCAGCTCCACGGCCTGCCCTCCCCGTCTCCACTGCACTGCCCATGACAGCAGCCTGCTTATGGATCTTTTTTATCTGTTTATGAAGCCCTGCTCTGCCACCAGCCACTCGCCCTGCCTAGGACCTGGGGACGTGGAATCTAAAACACTGGGTCACTGGAGTCCAGGAGGCGAAGCTCTGAGAGGAAGCTGCTGGGGAGTTGGGCAGGGGACAGGCAGGACCCACCCTCGGGACAGGCAGGGCTGAGGAATGTGACTGGACCATGGCAGCCACAGAGCCTTTACTGTGAATTAGCTTGCCACAAGCCCATCAACAGGTTTCTGGCTTTGGGGAATGCCAAGAGAATGTGCTGGAAACATCCTTCTAAGGTTCACAGCCAGCCTTTACCGCATCCTTGCTGGGTGCCTGGCACCCAAGTGTTCCATGTATTCACTGACTCACAGCCACCCATGGGATGAGGCACGCGTCCTACACTCATCTCGTGCAGGGGCCCAGAGAGGTTGAGTAACCTGCCCAGGACCACACAGCCGGTCACCCCACCCCTCCTCTTTCACTGTGGTTCATGATGCTGACTGTTGCTTTTCTCTCGGCTGAAGAGTAACTGAAAAGTTCTATTACCTGAGACTGGCATGAGCTGACTCCCCGCACTCCTAAGAGGAAGCTCGCCACCCTTACTGGGCTGCCACATCCATGTAAGAAATCCCCATGGTGTTGGCCAGTGGGCAGTAAGTACGGGAAGGTGGCCCTGCCTAGTGCACTCCTGCTTGTCTTACAAAACCCAGCTGTAAAGGCCCCTCCTTGGGAGAGCTCTCTGGCTGGCGTCCTACAGACCCTCATTTCTCAGCTGCATAGCACTTCCAGGCTTTGCATGGAGCTCTAGGAAAAGGAAGAGCCCTGGTCTCGGTGGGAGTCCAAGTGCTGGGGTGGGGGCCTGGCCCTGCTGCCCCTTGGTCCATGGAGCCTCAGTTTCCCCATGCTTCAAAGGAGGTCCTGACACAGGCCCCTCCCACTGGACAGTGCCCACAGGGCTTGCATGTGAATGCCTGGGAGGCCCTGCCCTCACCCAGGCCCCCCTATTCCAGACCTCAGACCCCTCTGGCCTTGCTCTGCCAGGATGCAGTACAGCCTGGGAGGCAGGAACTTTCCAGAGCTTCCAGGTAAGGAAAACGGGAACAGCAGCTAGACACTATTTGAAAAGGTGGCTGACATACAGAGACGGGATTCCAGCTTTTTCACTCTAAATTCTAAATTTAGATGCAGTGGGGTAAACAGAGCCCAACAGCCTCCTGTTTTTAGAGACCCCCGGGCGCTAAACAGAGCAGCCCGTGTTTGCAAAAACTGCTTTTCCCTCCACTCAAACTTGAACACAAACAAACGCATTCTGTTTCAAGGGCAAAGAAAAAAGTCTTAAATCCTCCCCAAATGCCTCAGCAGCCAGGCTCAGGCGCCACACTTGGGGGAACCAGGAGATCACACAAGTGAGTTGGGCCTCCACACCCTGGGGAGGGACGCAGGAGGGGACACTCAGCCACTGAACTGGCTCCTTCCCTAGATGGCTGTGGAAACTGAGGCCCAGCAAGGGGAGGGACTTTCCCAGGAAGCCCACCCAGAATGCCCACTGTCCTGGGCTGAATTGTGTTCCCCCAAAATTCATGTCCACTTGGTCCCTCAGAACGTGGTCTTATTTTGAAATAGGGTCTTTGAAGATGCGATTAAGGATCTCAAGATGAGACTACCCTGGATTATACTGGTGGGTCTTAAATCCAATGACAAGTGTCCTTATAAGAGACAGAAGAGAGATGCAGATGCACAGGAGCGATGTGGCCACAAGCCAAGGAGGTCTGGAGCCACCAGAAGCTGCAGGAGACAGGAAGGACTTTCCCCTAAGCCTCCAAAAGGAGCACAGCCCACCAACACCTGATTTCAGACTTCTGGCCTCTAGAACTACAATAAATTTCTGTTCTTTGAAGTCAACCAGTTTGTAGGACTGTGCAGCAGCCCCAGGAGGTGAATAGCCCGCCGACTCAGGTGCCACAGGGCAGACGGCTCTGCAGGCACATCCGTGGTTTGCTCCCTCACGTGACCAATACCAGCTGAGCTGAGGACACCTGAGATTGCCCCTGTGGCCCCTATAGTCCAGGGGGCGAGTGTGGGTCCACACCTGCTCACGTGTGCCTCGGCAGCCCTGTTGAGGGACACCACATATGGTCTTTGAGCAGCTGGTCTAGGCTGCAAGGACTGTGGGTGGGGGTCTGCAGGGTCCGGACAAGGTCAGGGCAGGCACAGCATGGAGATCGGAAAGGCCCGGCCTCCGGGAAGCTGCCCCCACCCATTAGGTGGCCTGTGGCAGCCCCCAACCACAGAGGAGGTCTCCCCACCCCATTGTCCGTCTGCCACAGACAGCCAGCCTCGGGGCAGGGCCTGGTCAGCCTGCGGGGCTTCACTACCCTGGTGGCGTGAACGAAGGCAGGACAAAGGACACAGGAAAACAACTGCTGCGGGGAGGAGGGGGCAGTTGCAGACGGGCAGACTGGCTTGAAAGCCCTGATCTGGGCTGTACTGTCTTAGATTTCTTGAGTCTTGTTTGTCCGAGAAGCGCCAGGAACACAGCCCATAACTCAAGTCTCAGGGGCCGCTCCCACCCGGACAGCTGCAGGGGCAGCCCTGTGATGAATGGGAGCATTTGCCCCAGAGCCCCAGGCGGCAGGGGGCCCAGGGTGGCCAGGGGCCCTGGCCCGGCAGGAACAATGGCCAGGCCTGGGCGCGGTGACCGAGGCGCAAGCTGCAGCTGACGGCGCGGGCCGGGGCACCAGTGCCAAGCCGGGCACAAAGGGGCCGTGTTCCTGGCTGGCGGGCGGATGTTTGCACAGGTGTGGGGGTGGGAGTGCCGCTGTGCGCGGGCCGGGGCTGGGGAGTAGCCTCCGCTGCCCGCAGCTCCTGTGGCTGGGCAGGCAGGCGGGGCGTCAAGGCTGGCACCCTTCTCAGCCGGCCTGCAGCAGCCACCCGCCGCCTTCGCTGTGCTGCCGGCCTCCTGGGAATGCTCCCGGCTCCAGGCAGCCTGTCGCATCCCCCCACCCACCACAGGCAATATCCCTGCCAGGGGGCCAAGCCCTCCTGCCCAAGCCTGCTCGGGCCTGCCACAAGGGGGCCTTCAGGGACACAGGCCCCCCTGGAGGGTGGGCAGAGGCTGTGTCAGCACATCCTTGTCTTCCCTGAGCAGTTTGGCATGCTGGAAGCTTCCAGAAAACACATTGACTTGGCCAAGGTCAGGAGCCCCGCTGCATGCCTGGCCTCATGGGGGTTGGGCCAGGGGACTCAGTAAGAGCAGGGCACGTGCCTGCCAGGGCATCACAGGGCGGCTCCCTGCCCCACCTGGTCGAGCTCGGATGGCACCTCTTCTGGTGGTGGGTGGGGAGTCCCCAGAGCAAGCCAGGCCCTTCCTTTCTGGAAGGAGCACTGAGGGGCAGACAGGTGGAGCCTGCACAGCCAAGGGCCACCAGGGCTGCCTGGCCGCCGAGACCCTGACTCCCACTGCAATGGCCCTCAGGCTCCCTGCCTCGCACGCAGAGCCACCCAGCCACCCCTAGGTGTGACGGCACCTTCCTGGGCCCTGGTGGCCTCTGACAGCTGAGGGGGATGGGACGGGGGAGTGGAGAGAGTGGGGACCTCCTCTCGTACCCACAGTCCAGCCTCAGGCCCGCTTCTCCTACTGGCCACCTGCCTGTTCCCTGCAGAAGCAACCCAAAAGAAAGCCTCGTGCACACACAAAAGCCAATTTCCGCTGGAGGATTTGAAGGCTGTGCAGGCAGCCACCAACTCCTGAAGGGACACTGGCAACCCGGACCTCTGCCTAAAAACACCTCGGCCAGCGTCTGTGATTCGAGCCTTGAGTGATGTGCCCAGGCACCAGTGACAAAGGATGTGAGGGTGCGCCCAGTGTTCTCCAGCTGCGTCCTCATCAGAATATCTCCCTCCCCTCATGCAGGCCTGAGACGCCCGCCAGCCCACCTGCCCAGGGCCCTCTCCTGACGCTACGCTACAGGTCACTTGGGGCTCATGTTGGGGATCATCCGTAGCACACTCCTTTCCCCCTGGAGACTGGCAGCTCAGAGCAGCCTCAAGCTGCCACAGCCCCGGCCCCGGCCGCTTGTGCATCTGGAGCTGTCTTCATGGCCGGGGCCAGCCCTGGACCCACAGGGAGGATTCCACGCTCTCCCAGGCAATCTGCTTCTCCAGGCATAGCCCACACCTGCACTGCAGCAGCCCAGGGCCAGCTACAGAACTTGCAGCCAGTGTCCAGCGGAGGAGCGGGAGCATTTCCCTTGACCCTGAGGTCTCTTGACCCATATGGTATTTTTTGTTTGCTATATCATGTCTCGCTGCTTGGACACAGGGATACTCACAGGGCCATTGCGGACCCCCAGAGACACAGGGCACGCCCTTCCCCTGCCAGGCACCCCCTGCCCCATGCACACACATGCATCCAGGACCCTGCCAGGGAGAATGGTGGCAGTGGCCAGTGGGCAGGGGGACAGGCAGCCAAGGACCTGGCTCAGGGAGATGGCAAGAGACAGGGCCACGCGGGCACTGGGGCACCAAGCCCCCAGCACATACCCTGCTGTCCTGTTGGACTCGCCTTACAAAACACAAGTTTAAAGGTAAAAGCACTAAGAACTTCAAGACAATGACCCCTGGGCATTCAGTGTTGGGGGTGGGGCCTTGTGCTGCTGGGGTCAAGTACAAGTTTGTGGATGAAGGGCCATGAGCATTCAGGTGAGGAGCCCCCACTGATGAGGCATAAGATCCGGAGAAACCACAGCCCTGGTGTCTTGCTCCGTCCTCCCCCAGACCCCGACAGCCCCAACCCGGGCTACCCCTGCCCGAAGGCCCTGACTTACCACCCCCCACCACAGGGCATCTGCGTAGCTGCCGAACTCCACGCGGCCCGACTCGTTCACTGCGTCCTTCTCAGCCAGGTACACGAAGTACGAGGAGAAGATGAGGCCCAGGAAGCCGATGTACAAGGTGGTTATCAGCTCCTAGACCCGCAAGCAGACGCAGCCTCAGGCGAGGCTCCCGGCACCCCACCCGGCCAGGAGCCCCACACGAAAACGCGGGACCCACAGCCAAGGCACAGAGGGAGTGGCCCTGTTTGCACCGGACAGTCCTACATCCGCTTGGCCGTGTTTCACATGCACAGATCACTCTCAAAAACAACCTGTCTTCAAGACTCAAATGGTGGCATTGGGTCTTGTCCCACGGGAGCGAGGCTCAACCCCGGTGGTTGCCCGGGACCGGCTCTCTTTACCCAGAGGTGACAGAATCAAGAGCTGGCCGGGGCTCAGCAGCTCCCCCGCAATGGAGCCCGTCTCAGTTCGGTCCTAGGAAGAGTTCTGGTGACCCCACACCTAACATCCAGGCAGGGCCAGGCCCTGGGCTCCCTTTGTGCCACTCTGGGGTGGGCGGTCCGGCTGCCTCTGTCCTGCCCCACCCTGGTTCCCTGCACCACCACCTGGGCCAGCTACCTGGCGGTGGATGAAGACCACAGAGCCCAGGAGCCTCCAGGTGCCTCCCTGGCGGTCAACGTGTAGCATCCTCAGGATCTGGAGGAAGCGGATGCCCCTGGGAAGGAGAGAGCACAGGCTAAGAGGGCCATGCGGTCTCAGGCATCTGTGCAGGACCAGGGAGACAGTGGGTGGGAGGCTGCCCTGTCCCCTCTGGCTGGGGGAGACTTGGGCACATCCGCCTCAGCGGGAGAAGAGGCGCTTCATGGAGGGTCAGCCCCTCCCAGCCCTGCAGTGGTGGGTGGCCCAGCAGGGAGTGTTGGCAGCACAGATGTACCTGATGGCCGACGTGGCGAACACCTGCCCTTTGGAGCCCACGCAGAGAACCACCATGGAGGCCACGACCACGATGAGGTCTGCAAGGAGGGCAGGGGCAGCTCATCATGACCACCACCAGCCACTGCCCTGGGGGACAGCACTACCCCCACCCGCCCTGAGGAAGGGCTGGCCAGTTAGGCAGGATAGGGCCCAGTGACAGGGGATGTGGGGACACCTTGACAGGGAGTCAGTCAGCTCCTGAGCTGCAGAGACCCAGCTCTCTGTCTCAGCCATGTGTGCCACCCCCCACCCCTTGCCTATGCCAGGCTCTGGACTGAGGCCTGAAAGAGGCCAGAGAGGACAGGGCCTCAGGCCTGGACCAGGCTCTCGGGCCACCAATCCCTGCTGAGGAGGGTCCTGGGATGCTTTGAGGGATCAATCCTCCCACCCTGTAAGCAGCATCTGAGTGCAGCAGTGGCCCAGGGCTGGGGGATCTATGGGGTCCTACCCTTCATAGGCAGGTAGAGGAGCAGGGGTTCTCTCAGCCATTGGGAGCTCTGTTTGGTGGTGGTCATGATGTGGGGGCCCTTCCTGATCTGGAAACCTGGGTGAAGCCTCCATGGGGTGGGCATGACTCACCGATGATGGAGATGGGCTTCCGGGCGAAGCGCAGCCGCCCCCAGATGCCCACGTACTTGCTGCGGCATCCTGCTGACCAGAGACGGACCACGTACTCCGTCCCAAAGAACACCACCAGGACGATCTCCTGCAGGGACAGGGAGGTGAGCTCACTCTGCAGAGGGCTGTGTCCTGCACAGAAGCAGACCAACCATGCAGATGGGCAGGTCCCCCGACACCAGGAGCCTCCACTGCAGGCACCCAAGAGCAGCAGGCCAGGGGGCAGTCTGCCAGGGATGGGCAGCACCCATGTGAAGTGCCCTCCTGAGAGGCAGATGCCTCACCCAGGTCCCTGCTGGGCAAGAGGAAGCCCTTATGCCAGGACTTGGGGCAGCTCTGGGCCATGTGCCCTTGCCCAGACATGTGACATCCTGGGGCTCATGTTCTCCAGTCACAACTAGTTCAAACCACTGGACTCCCGGAGCTCAGCCCCTATCCCAGTTTGGGGGCTGGAGAACATCTGTCCTCATGGAACTGTCCCGCTCTCACCTCACTCAGCTGCCACACTACTGGGGACACGGCATCCACTAGTTGGTGGCCTGCGCTGGGGTCTGGGCACAGGAGCCCCTGGGGCAGGGGAGCCAAACAGTGGGAGGAAGAGGCTGAGAGGGGGGACAACATGGGCCACAAGGCAGCTGCTTCAGCGTCCTCCCCAGCCCAGGCCTCCAGCAAGGACTTCTCACGCTCGCTCCGAAGTCAGAGGTTTCAGGGAGAGAGGGTGGGAGCCGCCCTGGAGGTCAAGGGCTGACATTTGGGTCACAGCCCATGGACAACAGGCAGGTGAACAGATGGATGGGTGGATAAAAAGACAGACGGATGGATGATGGACAAACAAAAATGGACGGGATAAGAACCAAGCCCAAGTGGCAAAGGCTGCCGTGTGCTCTCCCAATAAAATGAGGCGCGAGGCAGAGGGACCTGCCTCCAGGCTCTGCCTGGACTGTGATCTGGAATTCAGGTGAAATCCGGCCTGAGGCTGGCCCAGCCCCTCACGGTGTCCTCCGTGCTGTATTTTTCCCTTTCCACCACTGCCCCACGAGACAGGCCAGGTGACCATGTCCTGCAGCCTCCAGACAGCAGTGGGAGATACAGGTGAGGGCCTGGCCCCGCCCCTGCCTGGCCACCCAGTGGCCTAACATACTGCAGGTTGGGGGGACTGTCCCACCTAGAGGTGAGAAGCCAGGGGCCTGCCACCTGGCAGCATCTGGAGAGCGAGGCAGCGGCCGGGCCTGTTGGGGGCCACAGCAGGACCTGGGCTGCCCCTCACCTGCAGCCGACCACAGCTCTGGTCAGTCCCTGGCTCCTCCTACACGGCCATCGCCACAGGAACCCTGGGTGCTGCTAATGAGAAACACCTTCCCCAGCTCCACTACAGGTTAGCCTTGGGGCTGGTCTTGGGGCCGTGAGAGTCCGGGCAGGCAGCCCCTCAAACACAGCACCCTCATGGGAGTCTAGCACTGCTGGCCCCCTGCACCCAATGCCTGGCTGACCCAGCCCACCCCCTCCTCTCCTCCATCAAACCTGGAAGGAAGAGGTTTCTAGTAGGTGGGAAGATGACCCTGGGGGCTGAATTCCACCCCCTGGGGCACAGACTGGGAACCTGGGCCTCAGTTTCCTCAAGTAAAATGTGGAAGGCAACAGTACTGTTCTCGGTGGGACACAGGGAGTGTCTGACGCCAGCACATGCATTTATGTGAGATGGAGCCCATCTGATGTTCGCAAGCATGGCGGCCACCTGTGGGTCTGTGTGCACTGCACCCAGCCAGCCTTGGCATCAAGAGGTCCTCAGAGGAGGTGTGAGGGGTCAGGAGACTACACCGTTCCCCACATGCGCAGGGACCACACAGAGCCACAGAGCATTCTGCTTCTCGGGCCCCTGCCAGCTGGCTTGCTACCTGTCTTCCCTCAGGAGCCTGCCATGGAGGGGCTTCTGCTCCAACTGGCTGACAGTGGCTGGCCCTGCCCCCGCCCACGAGTGCATCACTAGGGGTAGCTGGACACTGCCGTTGCTGTCTCCAAATGTTATTAATTAAGGCAAAATAATATTTACACCACCCGGTTTGCGTTTGAGGCAAGCCCAATGGGTAATGGGAGACAGTTTGGGAAAAGTTAGCACTTTGCTTTTGCAAAATGTTTTTGGCTCGTAACACCACGTCCTTCGGGGATGGGGTAGGGGTGTGTGTGGTTGGTGCACATGGGAGAAGGCGGGAGAGTGAGGGACTGTTGACACCGCAGGCCCTGTGGCCTCGTCGGGGGTGCAGGTCCCCCCTCAGGGAGTGGCTGAGCTCACCAGGCAGAGGCCACATTGGGCTTGTCCACCCCTGTCTCCCAGGTCCCCAGAAGAGTGCCCACCCTGGCCAGCTGAGCAGACAAGTGAACGAGCAGACACAGGAGCTGCCGGGGACTCTGTCGTGTTCATCTTTGTTGCCTGGAACCTGGCTCCACGGGGATGCCAGGCTGTGGCACTGTGATGCCCATCTGACTGGCCATCACGAAAAGGGCCACGTAAACACTGAGCCCCAGGTCCCCGAGGCTGCGAGAGGGGCCCTGAGACTTCATAGAGGACGGCTCACCTGGCTGCTGGGCCCTGGCGGGGGCGGCTCGCCCCCAGAAGACAGTGCCTGGAACCTGTGTCCCAGCTCTGTGGCCTCACACCGCCAGCTGACAGCTCACCAAACAGGTTTTTACTTTGACATACCTTTTTTGTTACTTAAATACCCTCTTCAGCCATGGCTGGGGCAGATTTGAAGTGCTAGATGTGTCTTATAATGCACCTTGAAATAAATAACTGCCAGGGATTGCTTCTCATGGCGGTATGTCCCCCCAAAATGTGTCCCCTCCCTAACACTTGCAGAGAACCTGTTTGGGAGCCGGCTAGGAGCTCTCAGGCCAGCAGTCTGAGATGGCAGGACCTCCCTCTGGAGGGTGAGGTGGCGGGAATAATTTAAAACAACGCTAATCCTCAGTCCTGTCTGAGTCGGGAACACAGCGTGAGACCCAGCTGCTTGGGGACCAGCCCCACTCTCGTGTCTGAGCCAGACGGGACTGGGTTAATTAGTATGATGCTGCCGGCAGGCCGGGAAGGGGCTTTAGGCTGGAGACAGCAGGATTGAATGTTTGTTCAGAGATAAAATTATCTCCACCATGAACGGCCTCACGCACTCTCGGGGCCAAGGCCACATCCAGGACCCCGGGGGGCTCATGCACAGGCAGGGTTGGAGCCTACAGGAGGGCGGATCCCCAAAGCCACGCTGTGGCTCACCCCATCTCAGGGGACAACACTTGCAGTCCTGAGTGGGCTCATGAAATGGGAGGGCCGCCTTCCCTAGCTCCGGGGTAGGGGAGGCTAGTCTCAGCCTTGGCAGTCCAGGCCCAGATTGGGTGACCTGCTAGTCACCCTCCTAGCACTGGGCTCTCTCTTCCCTGGCAGGGGCAGGCCTGAGGCTTACCTGTGTTTGCAGACCTGGTCCTAAGCACAGCCCCAAGTTTGAAACCAAGGATCCTCAACCTCCTCCCCAGAGCCCACCATCATCTGTCACTTCCCCATGCCTCCCCTGCTCAAGCAACTGCCGTAGCTCCCCATCGTCCACATCGTAGGGTCTGTGGGCAGCCACCCGACGTCCCTTCCCAGGGGGCCCACATTCTACCCCAAGAGCTTCCCTGAGGGGCTCCCCCGGCTCCTCAGTGGTCTGTGTCTGGGATGCTGTCCCCCCACCATGCTCCTCAGGCCAGCTCCAGCACCCTCACCCCTCCGGGAGCCCCACCTGCCACGCCTGCAGAGGACGGGATGTTCCCTAGCTCCTCCATCGGTAACAGCCAGCCCCAGAGGCCTTCTCCAAGGGGCACCCAGTATTGTCCAGCCCCCCGGAGGACCTATCAGTGAAACCCTCATGGTGCTTGCAAGATCCGGGGTCAAGGATGCAATGCCCCAGGACACTGATGGAGCGTGACCCTGAGTGCTGCCCTGCAGACGCAAGAGGAAAGACTGTCCTTGGCCCAGAGACCCTGGGATCTCCACTGAGACCACAGTCAGACCACAGGGACATAGAGGCCCCTTCTGCCCTGGCCACTGTCATTCAGACTAAAGCAAGGCCATCTCTTGGCTGCAGAGGCTTCACGGATGAGGCCACACAGCTCAGGGAAGGGCAAGGGCAAGGGCTGGAGTTCATGGCAAAGGCGGGACTAAATGCTACTAAATCGCACACTCTGACACGGCCGAAATGGTGAATTTTACGTTCCGTACGTTTGACCACAGTAAAGCTCATGGCCTGTGGCCTGGCCTCAGGCAGGTTCTCATCTGTGCTCTCTGGTCAGGTGGCCCCACAGGGCCCTGTGGCTCTTCAGGGCCACCCAGTGGCACTGAGTCTCTGCCCCACCTCAGTCTGTGTCCCTGGAGAGTCCCTTACAGCTGTCCTTGAGCCTTGAGTTCTTAATCTTCATGGGCTACTGTCAGCTCAGCGTTAAACAAAATAGCTGAGCCAAGCGACCTGCTGACCACAAGAGGCCACACGGACCTGTGCCAGCTTCTCCCGATGAGGATGGAAGGGGAAACAGCAGGTAAAGCAGAGGGCCGGGCTCGGGCGGTGAAAGCGAGGGCAGGTTTTAAACGTCCTTTGATCTGGTTTTATCGTCATGGTGAAAACCATTCCTGTCACGCTGCCGCACGCTGGCACGGACGACCTCACCATCGATACTGAAAGGGCAGACGGTCACAGGGACCCTTATCCTCCACCCAGAGCAAGTCGGCGTGTGATGCAGGAGGAAGAGACAAGCTTGAAGTCGCGGAGGACCAAGCGTCTCAGGAGCGCACTGTCACACGTCAGTCCTGAGCTTATTTGCCATGTTTTGGGGTAACAGCCCTTGGAACAGCAGATCTGCCCAAATCCGAAGGGCCAAGATAAAGGTTTAGCAAAGCAGGTGCTTATCTGGGATCTTTTCTCCTTGGAGTGTACAGAAGGGGAGAGGTCTGCGCGGCGGCTCGAACATTTCGTAACCAGCTGTGGAACCACCGCTCACGGAGGATGAAGGTCAACGTGGCCGTCTTATCTGTTGTTTTGTTTTTATCAGCTGGTGAATCCGCATCATTGG